CCTGGCCAGTTTGGCTCAGCGGTTAGAGCGTCAGCCTGTGGTCCAGAGAGACCCGGGTTCGGTTCCCACTAAGGGCATGTACCTCGGTTGCAGTTTGTCCGTGGCCCTGGTTGGTCGTGCAGGTGGCAGCCACTCGATGTGTCCCTTTCACGTCGATATTTCTCTCTCTCTCTGTTCCTCTCTCTCCCTCCCACTCTATCTGAACAAAAAATGGAAAAATGTCCTCAGGTGAGGATTAAAAAAAAAAGAAATACTCCTGCCTTTTAAAACTACATATTGGTATGGAACTAGACTCCTTTCATATACTTCAAATAAAATAACATATTGCAACAGATTGCAGAAGTAAATGCAGGTCATACAGTAAAGAGATGTACAAACAGGTAAAGGGTGTCACTCGCTAAATTCTTTTTGTTTTGTAAAATATAGTTATTGTATAACAAAAATGTCATTCATTTTCATGTCTAATTGGTTTATTGATATTACTTTTAATGAATTAAATGTTTTTTCTCTGTTTTAATTTCAAACATGATAAATATTGATAGTGATAACCTCAGAAACAAAGCTCTTTGGCATTCTTAGTAATTTTTAAGAGTTTAGCAGTGTTCTGAAGCCAAAATCTAAAAACTGTTGCCCTATAGTGAAGATCATAATCAGCTGGCCCTACTAGCTTTTAGTGCTTAATATAAGCTGACAGGAAGTGGTTACCAGATGTTTAAGGAAATCATTTTAAGAAGCATATAATATAAAAAAGTAGAAACCAATAAAAATAAAGATCAAAGAAAAGAAACTCAAATAAATTAATATCAATGTTTCTATGAAAATAAAGGTAGTGTATTCGTTAAACAAGAACAGGGTGCTATTATTTATTTATGTACTTATTTATTTTCTTTATTGATTTTTAGAGAGAGACGAAGGGAGAGGGAGATAGAGAAAGAAACATCAATGAGAGAGAACATTGATTGGCTGCCTCCTGCATGCCCCCCACTGGGAATTTGGCTCACAACCTGGGCATTTACCCTGACTGGGAATTGAACCGGCGACCTTTTTCTTGGTGCATGGGTTGATGCTCAATCACTGAGCAACACCGGCCAGGCATGGGGTTCTGTTTTTTAAAATAAGGAACATCCATGGGATAACGAAAGGTTATTGGAAATTAATTAGAGAATGGTAATGAAAAACATAATAAGAGGATTGGAAGATAAAGTTGAATGATTCTTTCAAAATCTTGAGCAAAAAAGACTAAAAGATAAAAAATTAAATAGAAAAGATACTTGTCAGGAATATCAATATCAAAAAATTTGAGTTCCCAGAAAGAGAGAACAGAGAAAAGAAAGGGTAGGAAATCATCAAAGGCGTGCTTCAAGAGAACTATCCTGATTTAAAGTCCACAGAGTGCCCAGCACAATGAATGAAAATAAACAATACCAAGACACATCATTGTGAAATTTCAAAAAGGATATCCAAAGCCTCCAGGGGGTAAAAACAGAACTTATAAGTACCAAAAGGATCAGAATTCTCAGTAGCATGGGACTTCTCAAGGACAATTCTGGAAGCTAAAGGACAGTAGAACCACACATTCACAGTTCTGTAGGAAAATTACCAGAATTCTATACTCAGCTAAAGAATCAATCAAATGTGAGAGTAAAAGGTATTTTCAGACACGCAAATTCTCAAATACTTTACCTCTCCTGTACTATACCTTTTCCTACATAAGAAGAATAAACCAAGAAAGAAGAAGATATGGGATCCAGGAGAAAAGTGAAAGAAACTTACAGGATGCTGATCCCAAGACAATAAGTGCACCTAGAGTAAAAAGCAACCTGTCCAGATTGGAAGAGGTCAAAATGTTCTAAGAAAGATTTCTTTAAGAATATAAAAATGGTAGCGTGTCTGATATGTTTAAATATATTGCGAGATTATATACTTGGGTGGCAGTTTGGGGTTAAAATAATCATTGCAAAGAAAAATGATCAAGCCAAATAACAAGTCATTAAACCCAGATCAGATCTTTGGCCTCCAAGATCAGAAAATGGGGGTTAGAGTTCTCCACAAAAACTTTGAAGAGCTGTTTGGCTGTTTTAAATAGTTGTGTTTGTAAGATTGATAAAAATTTTTAAAAAATGAGTTAAAAAGAATAGCACATGCTCTTACAGTAGTCTACAAAAGTCTGCCTTCCTCATCCCCTCCCACATTCACCGTGGTCAGGCAACCTTGGCCTCCTTGGTGGATTCAGATACACAGGGCCTTTGCATTTGCATTGTATCTGCCTGCAACATTTTCCTCTCAGACATGTATCAGGTTTGTTCATTCACTTTCTTTAGATCTCTGCTCAAATATTCTCCTCAGTAAGTTCCTGCCCTCCTTGACTCCTCAGTGTGTTTTACTTTTTCAGCATGGTACTTGCTATCATCTAGCATTTTAGTCTCTTCATTATGGGCTTTGTCTTTGCTCTTGTGCTATAAATACCACAAACAGCCTTAACTATAGTAAGGATTCAAAAAATATTTATTGAATGACTAGCACTAAACACACTAATTTAAAAATAAAATCACAGCCCTGGCTGGTTTGGCTCAGCAGTTAGAGCGTCGGCCCACAGTCCAGAGAGACCTAGGTTTGGTTCCCGCTGGGGCATGTACCTTGGTTGCAGTTTGTCCCCGGTCCTGGTTGGGGTCATGTGGGTGGCAGCCAGTCGATGTGTCTCTCTCATGTCGATCTTTCTCTCTCTCTCTCTCTCTCTCTCTCTCTCTCTCTCTCTTTCTCTCTCTCTCCCCCCCCCCTCTCCCCCTCTTTCCTTCCTGCTCTATCTGCTGATGAATGCAAGAGAGTCCTCGGGTGAGGATAAAAATAAATAAATAAATAAATAGATAGATAGATAAATGAATAAATAAATAAATAAAAACAAATTCACTGAAGAGGAAATACAAGTGGGTAACAAACAGATAATCTCAAAAGTTGTAAAGAAAATGTAAATGGAAGCAATGGGATAATTTTGTCCAGATTACCAAGAAATAAAAATACTGGTGATAATATCACTGGCAAGAGTGGAAAAGTAAACTGGTAGTCTTTGGGATGCAATCTGATATACAGATATTCATATGGGGCACAGATAGGCATGTGCAAAAATGGATACCCCTGCAAGTGTTTGTAATGGTGAACAATTAGAAACAACTCAGTACCTGTAGAGACATTGTCAAATTACAGCACTCATGTATTCTTTTAATAGCAGCAAGTAAAATGAAGGACAGCTGTGTGTTCTATACTGTAATTTCATTTGTGTTTCACAAAACATAAGACTAAATTTCTAGATATGTGATTATATATGAAAATTCCTAGAAAAATATCTAATAGCATACATTTCAAACTTTCATTTTATTAAATCTCTAGTTTATTTTTTATTTATCTGTTTCTTGAGCATGTAGTATGTGTGAGGAGTGGACATGCTAGGAAGAGAGCAGTGAGCAAAATAGAAAAAAAAGTGCCTGCCCTTGTAGAGCTGGTATCCTAGCAGGAAGAAACAGACCATGAACACTAAACAAGTAGATACATCATAGTACTCTGAAGAAAAGTAAACCAGGTGAGAGAGGGGAAGTACACAGTGGGGCAGGAGGGCTCTTGCTGTGTTCAACTGCTGTCCAGTGGAGCTTTCTGCAGCAATGGACAAGTCCTCTAAATTTGACCTGCCCAATACTGTAAGCCACTCACTACTGGCCTCATGTAACTGTTGAATGCTTGATGTCAGTTCAATGGAGGAATGGGATTTTAAATTTTATTTAATTAAAATAAATTTAAATTGCCACATATACTGATTGATTCCATATTGGTCATTGCACTTATATGGGATGGTCAGGGAAATCCTCACTTAAAGTAACATTGGAGTGGAGACCCATATGAAGTGAAGGAGCTAGTCATGTGTTTCATGCAGAGTGAACAAGAGGACCTTAGTTGGAGGCCTGTGCATCATGCTGGAGCAGGACAGGCAAGGGTAGGAGTGAAAGGAAATGAAGCCAGAGAAACGGAAGGGGCCCCACCATGGAAGGTCTTAGTGGCTAGTATGAAAAGGTTTATGCTCTGTGTAAGGTGGGAGCCATTGCAAAGCTTGGAGCAGACAAGTGAACTCTGCATTTGTAAAGAGTTCCTGGAACTGTTTTGATGACAAACAATGGGAGTTAGGGCAGAAGCAGGGAGAAAGTTAGGAGGCTACTACAGTAACCCAGACTAGAAGTGATAGTGAATTATGGGGTAGTAATGGAAGTGTTGAGAGATAGTCAGATGAATTGACAATATTTACTGCTGGATCAGATAAGGGCCATAAGAGAAAGGGAGCTATCAAGAATGGACTTCAATGGTTTAGGCTTGAGCAAATGAGATTGGGAGCACAGAGGAAGAGACAGTTTGGGGAAGAAATTCAAGAGTTCTGTTTTGGGCATGGCAACTTGGAGATACATACATGGATCCTAAAGCAAATTAAGTCTGAAACATTGCTGAAGACAAAATGACAAGACTGAAGTTGTCTTACTTTGAGTACACCATGAGAAGGCAGGGTTCTTTGGGAAAGATTATAATGCAGGGAAAAACAGAAGGCAGCAGGAAAAGAGGAAGACAAAATATGAGATGGTTGGCTTCATAAAAGAAGGTATGAGTCAGCAGAAGCTGAGCAGGGCTGTTGAGGACAGGGCGTTGTGGGCATCACTCATTTATAGGGTTACCAGGAATCAGAGCTGACTCAACAGCATGCAAAACACAAGTTGGAGATGCCCATAGTGAGTTATGCCAAATTCATGAAGATGAGTGATGGTAAAATGGGGACTGCAGCCAGAGGGTTACTGTCTAGGGAATGGAGTAAAAGAAGAGCGTTCGTAGATGGTATCAGGATAGTCCTCTTTATGTGAGAGGCAGAGCAAGCAACCTGTCATCAGCCATTTTAGCATAAAGATTGTATGTCTTTAATTACATGTGGCTCTAACACTGGGTAATCATTTTTTATTTTATTTACTGCACAGAATGGCTCCTGAACGAATAAGGTCCCTGTCACGAGTTTGTGTCCCACTTGTTACTCTGCCAGATTTTGAACCACTGGTGGAAGCTCTGCTCACCTACCATGGACATGAACCTCAGGAAATGCTCTGGCCCGAGTTCTTTGATGCTGTGAATGAGGCCTTTTTGCTGTAAGTGGTGTCTGTTTATCCTCTCACCCCGCCTTGTTTTTCCTTCTCTTAGATACTTCAGTATGTTGGAAATGCAGTTTTCAAATGTTTGTCTCAGTTACCCACTTTATGCTCTTAAAAATTTCTGAGGATCCTAGTGAGCTTTGTTAAAATGTGGGTTATAGTTGTCAATATTTATTATATTTCAAATTAAAACATAAATTTTAAAAATATTTTACTTCATTTAAAAAATTGATTACATGTTAACACAAATAGCATATTTTTATTAAAAACAATGACTTTTTCCAAGCAAAGAAGTTGTTTAACAAAGAGTGTCATTGTTTTACATGTTTGTAAATCTCCTTTATTGTCTGGCTTAAGACATCTGGGTTCTTATATATGTTTCTGTATTCAGTCTGGTGTGATGTGTTGTTTTGGTTGAAGTATATGAAGAAAATCTAGCCTCACACAGATACATAGTTGGAAGAGTCAGGAGTATTTAATATCCATCTTAGAACATCGTAGATAGTCTCCTTGTGTACCTCACCAAAATTTGAAAATGGGGGTTTGTTTAAAGTAAGTTGCAATGTAGAATATGAAATTATGTCAATAAACTTTTTTTTTTTTTTTATCCTCACCTGAGGACATTTTTTCCATTTTTGCACAGATAGAGTTGGAGGGAGAGAGAGGAAGAGACAGAGAGAGAGAAACATCGACATGAAAGGGACACATCGAGTGGCTGACACCCGCATGACCAACCAGGGCCGGGGACAAACTGCAACTGAGGTACATGCCCTTAGCGGGAACCGAACCCGGGTCTCTCCGGACCGCAGGCCAATGCTCTAACCACTGAGCCAAACCGGCCAGGGCTCAATAAACTTTTTAAAAAAATATTTCTTTATTTTATTTTATTTTTGTTATAGATGTTTCTCCTTTATTACCTCATTGACACAATCTTCCCAACCCCCCCACCCCGTCCCCGGCTTTGTTGTCCATGTCCATTGGTTATACGTACATGCATATAAGTTCTGTGGTTTATCTCTTCCCTCCTCCCACCACCCCTCTTCTGAGGGTTGTCATTCTATACCCTAATTCCACTTCTCTGGGTCTATCCTATTCCTCAGACTGTTATGATCATTATTCCACAAATAAGTGAGATCATGTGGTATTTGTCTTTTTCTGCTTGGCTCCTTTGACTTAGAATAATACTTTTCAGGTCCCTCCATGTCGTCTCAAAGGATAAGAGATCTTTCTTTCTTACAGCTGCATAGTACTCCATTGTGTATATGTACCACTGCTTTCTTATCCATTTGTCTACTGATGGACACTTGGGCTGTTTCCAGATCTTAGCTATTGTAAATAGTGCTGCTACAAACATGGGGGTACATATATTCTTTCTGATTGGTGTTTCAGGCTTCTCAGGGTATATTCCTGGAAGTGAGATCACTGGGTCAAATGGCAATTCAATTTTTAATTTTTTGAGGTAACACCATAGTGTTTTCCATAGTGGCTGCACCAGTCTGCATTCCCACCAGCAGTGTACTAGAGTCCCCTTTTCTCCACACCCTTGCCAACACTTGTTTGCTGATATGTTGATGGCGGCCATTCTGACAGGTGTGAGGTAATACCTCATTGTTGTTTTAATTTGCATCTCTTTGATGATTAGTGATGTTGAACATTTCTTCATATGTCTCTTAGCCATTTGTATGTCCTGTTTGGAGAGGTGTCTATTGAGTTCCTCTGCCCATTTTCTAATTGGGTTCTTTGTCTTCCTTTTGTTGAGTTGTATGAGCACTCTCTATATATATTGGAAATTAACCCCTTATCTGATACATCACTGGCAATTATGCTCTTTCATACAGTGGGTTGCCTTCCCATTTTGAGGATTGTATCTTTTGCTGTGCAGAAGCTTTTGAGTTTGATGTAGTCCCATGTGTTCATTTTCTCCTTTGTTTCTGTTGCCTTAGGTGATGTATCAGAGAAAATTCTGCTGCGTATGATGTTGAAAATTTTGTTGCCTACATTTTCTTCTAAGATTTTTATGGATTCACTGGTCACATTTAAGTCTTTTATCCATTTTGAGTTTATTCTTGTGTATGGTGTAAGTTGATGGTCTAGTTTCATTCTTTTGCATGTAGCTGTCCAATTTTCCAAACACCGTTTATTAAAGAGGCTGTCTTTACTCCTTTGTATGCTCTTGCCAACTTTGTCAAATATTAATTGAGCATAATGTCTTGGGTCCATTTCTGGGTTCTCTGTTCTGTTCCACTGGTCTATATGCCCGTTCTTGTACCAGTACCAGGCTGTTTTGATTACAGTAGCTGTATAGTATAACCTGAAATCTGGTATGTGATCCCATCTACTTTGTTCTTCTTTTTCAAGATTTCTGTGACTATTCGGGATCTTTTTTGGTTCCATATGAACTTTTGAAGTATTTGTTTTAGTTCTGTGAAATATGTCATTGGTATTTTGATGGGGATTGCATTGAATTTATAGATTGCTTTGGGTAATATGGACATTTTAATGATGTTAATTCTTTCAATCCATGAACATAGTATGTGCTTCCATTTTTTTATATCTTCCTCTATTTCTTTTTGCAATGTCCTGTAGTTTTCTGCACATAGGTCCTTTACTTCTTTGGTTAAGTTTATTCCTAGGTATCTTAATTTTTTTTGCCATGATGGTAAATGGGATTGTCTTTTCAGTCTCTGTGAGTTTCATCATTGGTGTATAAGAATTCCATCAATTTCTTGACATTACTTTTGTATCCTGCTACTTTGCTAAATTCATTTAATAAGTATAGTAGATTTTTGATGGAGTCTTTAGGGTTTTCTGTGTATAATATCGTGTCATCTGCGAATAATGACAGTTTCACTTCCTTCTTTCCCATTTGGATCCCTTTCATTTTTTCTTCCTGTCTGATTGCTGTGGCTAAGACTTCCAGTACTATGTTAAATAAGAGTGGTGAAAGCGGGCATCCCTGTCTTGTTCCTGTTCTTAAGGGAAATGCTTTTAGTTTCTGCCGATTGAGTATGATGTTGGCTGTAGGTCTTTCATATATGGCCTTTATTATGTCAAGATATGATCCCTCTATTCCCACATTGCTGAGCATTTTTATCAGAAATGGATGCTGGGTTTTCTCGAATGCTTTTTCAGCATTTATTGATATGATCATGTGGTTTTTATTCTTCATTTTGTTTCTGTGGTGTATCACATATATTGATTTGTGAATATTGTACCAGCCTTGCATCCCTGGGATGAATCCCACTTGGTCATGGTGAGTAATATTTTGATGTGTTGCTGGATCCGATTTGCTAGTATTTTGTTCAGGATTTTGGCGTCTATGTTCATCAGGGATATTGGCCTGTTGTTGTCTTTCTTTGTAGTTTCTTTTTCTGGTTTTGGAATTAGAATTATGCTGGCCTCATAAAACGAGTTTGGAAGTCTTCCTTCTTCTTGAATTTTTGAAATAGTTTGAGGAGAATGGGTGTTAGTTCTTTTTTGAATGTTTGGTAAAACTCCCCAATGACGCCATCCAGGCCTGGGCTTTTTTTTTTTTTGCTGGGAGAGTCTTGATTACCTCCTCAATTTCCTTAGTAGTTATTGTTCTGTTCAATTTTTCTATCTCTTCCCAGTCCAGTTTTGGGAGACTATGTGTTTCTAGAAATTTGTCCATTTCGCTTATATTGTCAAATTTATTTCATAGTAGTTAACGATCTTTTGTATTTCTGTGGTGTCAGTTGTTACTTTTCCTCTTTCATTTCTGATTTTGTGTATTTGGGTTCTCTCTCTTTGTTTCTTGGTGAGTCTAGTTAAGGGTCCATCAACCTTGTTTATCTTTTCGAAAAAACAGCTCTTTGTTTCATTGATCATCTGAGTTGTTTTTTTGGTCTCTATATCATTTATTTCTGCTCTGATCTTTACTATTTCCTTCCTTCTACTTGCTCTGGGATTCTCTTTTAGCTTGCTTTCTAGTTCTTTAAGTTGTGAGGTTAGATAGTCTATTAGAAATTTTTCTTCTTTCTTGAGGTAGGCCTATAGTGCTATGAACTTGCTTCTCAGACCTCCTTTCGCTGCATCCCACAGAAATTGTGTTGTTGTATGTTCATTTTCATTGGTTTCCAGGAAACTTAATTTCTTCCTTGATCTCCATGATAACCCATTCATTGTTCAATACCATGCTATGTAGCCTCCATGTTTTCAAATGTCTTTGCATGTTCTTGTTGCAATTGATTTCTAGTTTCATGCCATTGTGATCTGAGAAGATGCTTGATATGATTTCAATCTTCTTGAACTTGTAGAGATTTAGTTTGTGTCCTAACATGTGGTCTATCTTTGAGAATGTGCCATGTGCACTTGAGAAGAATGTGAATTATGCGGTTTTTGGGTGTAATTCTCTGTAGATATCTATTAAATCCATTTGGTCTAGTGCTTCATTTAGAGTCTGTGTTTCCTTGGTAATTTTTTGTGTAGAGGATTCATCCAGTGATGTCAGTGTGGTGTTGAAGTCCCCTGCTATGATTATATTGCTGTCAGTTTCTCCTTTGAAGTCTTCCAGAAGATTTTTAATAATATTTTGGTGCTCCTGTATTGGGTGCATATATGTGTATCAAGGTTATATCATCCTATTGGATAGATCCTTTTAATATTATGTAGTGGCTTTCTTTGTCTCTAGTTATGGCCTTTATTTTGAAATCTATTTCATCAGATATGAGTATTGCTACCCCAGCCTTTTCTTTCTTTCCGTTTGCTTGGATGATGTTTTTCCATCCCTTCACTTTCAACTTATGTGAATCTTCTGTTGTGAGGTGGGTCTGTTGTAAACAACATATAGATGAGTGATGCTTTCTTATCCAATCATCTACTCTGTGTCTTTTTATGGGAGCATTCGAGCAATCAGCTACTCTGTGTCTTTACATTAAAGGTGTTTATTGATATGTACTTATTTATTGCCATTTTTGTTTACTGTGCTTATATTTTTCTTCCTATTTCTTTTACTAATTATAGTAACTTTTCTTGCA